CTGCAAAAGAGAGCCATTCGTCTTATAGTTGGAATAGGTCCTCGAGACTCGTGTCGCCCCCATTTTATAAAATTAAAAATACCAACTGTATATAACTTATTTATTTTCGAATGTGTAGTTGGTCGGGTATAAGGTCAATTCCTTCACTTGATTTGTTTAAAAAAAACGCTAAGAATGCGACTTAATTCCTTTTTTTTAATTCTTTAAAGAAATTCTTTGATGTTTTCCAGGAATGGGGGAGTTTACGTAATTTAGTATTTATTAATTTTTAACTATACATATATATTTATAATTTCTTGTTGTTTGTTTACGCTTGTTAATAATGTTTGTAAATTTTTTGAAATATTCAACACCACTGGTGAAGAATAATGTATCTATCTAACAATGAACTATAATATTTGACCGGTATTTAGAGTGCACTAAAACAAAACAAAAACAATACAATAATCACTACACGTTAGTTAATTAAATAAGTATGGTAAGAGACCCAAATAAACTATGGTGCAAACTGTAAAGCGTGTTAACGTGCTATGTGTCAGATACAAATACTGTAAAATTTTTAAAAAAATTTCCTTACGCTAGTGTGTAAGAGCAAAGGGTGCACTTTCAAATTTGTTTTTTCGATTATAATAGCCCTTATAGACATTTCATGCCTTGGCGAGAATACAAACATGCGTATTACCCGTGGCTCGTTATCTTGATCACTTGATCCGATCCTCTAACAAATACTGATATAGAACGTTAAAATTATTTATATTGTTTTTTCCGACGATCGTTACACAGCAAATGGCAAATATTCGGAATATTTTTTTTAATATAGTGATCTTGTATGTTTCAAAAAACCTATTAACCTAACATATAGTTCTTTTTCTACAGTTGAGGTATGTAACGAAGGTCATTACTTCTGACCATGCCTGTACATTTGGTTATTCTGAAGTTTTCAGTTATGTGAGTTTATGTTTATAGGTTCACGTGTTGATTCAAAAGATACAATCTATGCTTCTTATATGCTGAATCAAAAACTTGTCCACATTTTGTTTTTTGTATCTTGTGCAAATAGTACATGCTTAATTTGGAATTATGGGACCACCACAACCACACGTGGAAACCTTCCATGAATCCCATTTGTATGTCAAATATATCTTCAATATTTATTTATTATCTCTGACAATGTGAGCCATTGCATGAGATACGTCAAATGTACACAGTAAACATATAACTCCACAATTTAAAATACTAGAACACGTTAAAATAATTACAAAAAAACTAGTTTCGAAAACAAAAGTTAAAAAACTCATCCACAGTATATGGTGCTTGAATTAAAAGAATTGCTTTTATAGCTGCCCTAAAACTCTTTAATGTTTTCTGACCTATTACACTTTTGGGGAGGACATTATACAGGGTGACAATTTGAAAACTTACCACCCCTCATATCTTAGTAAATAAACGAGATATTAAAAAAAATCAAAATCCGTTTCCGTAATTCGGAGGGGGAATCACAATGACATAGTTGGCGACGCACCCCCTCCAACCCCCTGCGCCCCAGCCACCCCAACTTTTAAATCTTAAATAGTGACCCCCCATGTGTGATACGTCGTTCGAAAGCTCTGAAAAAATGCTTTCCAACCATACCAAATAGTATTACATTTAGGTTAGTAATTATCGTGCAAATAAAAAAATAAACTAATATGATACATTTGAAATCTGTCGTATTTAAAACGCAACCGGCGAACATAGACGAACTAAGACAGATAATAATTCAAGAATGTCGAAATATTGCAAAACCAACATTTGAAAAGGTTCGACAAGAGTTTGAGAATAGATTATAACTGGCGATCAAAAATGAGTTGCTATCGAGTCGGCTTTGGAAGTTCAAGTTAAATACGATTTTCCATGTTTATTTTTTGATTTGCACGATAATTACTAACCTAAATGTAATGCTATTTGGTATGGTTGGAAAGCATTTTTTCAGAGCTTTCCAATGACGTATCACACATGGGGAGTCACTATTTAAGATTTAAAAGTTGGGGTGGCTAGGGCGCAGGGGGGTGAGGGGGTGCGTCGCCAACTATGTCATTGTGATTCCCCCTCCGAATTACCGAAACGGATTTTGATTTTTTTAAATATCTCGTTTATTTACTAAGATATGGGGGGTGGTAAGTTTTCAAATTGTCACCCTGTATAATTTAATTCCCATTGACGTAGAAGAAATTTCTGCTAGCTTAAGCCTTGACGAGGGAGTTACAAACTCTTTTGTGTCGAGTGTTATGTGAATGTAAATTACAGTTACGTAATAATTGATGCCAATTACTGAAAATGGATGATGATACTTCTAAAATGTATACAGGGTGGTGACTTGCGTCACGCATCATAGGGATTTCAATGTAAAATTCATAACATGCGATTATTGGCTCCCCAAATTATTTTAGAGCAAAAATGTATGAAGGTTTTTTGTAGAAAAAAATTTTTTACGTCAATAAACCGTATTAGTTTTCAATTTTTTACATAGTAAAGACGGAAAATTGAGAAAATAAAACCCGCATCTTTTTGAATAATCTGCGATGCCATGAAATTTTCTAAAACAAAAAGATGTCAAGTTGTCAATTAGCAGCTGGATTTTATGATCGACTTGGTTACTGTCTTGCAGTTAATGGTGACTTATTCGAACATTGACTATCACTATCAATTGTTGTATTAGCAAACCGTTTTTAGTAATTTGGTCTTTCTTTATGTTGAATTCGCTGTTCTAAATATAATACTTTTTGATAGAATTTGATTTGTTTTATAGCAGACATTCCATGGCATGACGGATATTGTAGTTTTTGTATTATAAAATTCCATGGCATCACAGATTATTGAAAAAGATGCAGGTTTTATTTTTCCAATTTTCTGTCTTCATTATGTAAAAAATTGGAAACTAACGCGGTTGATTGACGTAAAAAATTTTTGTCTATAAAAAACCTTAATACATTTTTGCTCTAAAATAATTTGGGGAGCCAATAATGGCATGTTATGAATTTTACATTGAAATCCCTATGATGCGCGACGCAAGTCACCACCCTGTATAGATGCGAGAGTTAAAATACTGAATTTCTTAAAAATTGGTCGGCAAGATTCATATGTGCTAATACCGGCAATACATCGAACTATCCTTTTTTGAATTAGAAATACTTTCTTTGCTGAGCTGGACGATCCCCAAACAATAATGCCGTCTGAAAGTCTGGAATGTATTTGAGCAAAATAGTATGTCAACGTGTGCTCGATACCTATTAGTTGATTGTTGCGTATTTGGTAGCAGTAGGTGTTCAACCTCTTTACAAGGGTGTTACAATGACACTTCCAGTTTAAATTTTGATCTATATAAATACCTAGAAATTTACCGTTGTCTTGAGTGGGAGCGCTTTTACTAATCATCGAATTACTGAAATCTGAAATTTTACTACCACGACAGGTGAATGGAAGCAATTTAGAAACATGACAATGTCATTTATAAAAAGTATGAATAGGATGGGACCCAAAACGGATCCTTGAGGTACTCCTACATTAACAAACAAAGGCGACGATAAGAATTTAGATATAGTTCCTCCATTTTTGAACTTAATCTCTACCTGTTGGCATCTGTGGGATAGATAAGACGAGACCCAATTTGCAACCACACCCCGTATACCATAAAAGTTTAATTTGTGCAATAATAATGAGTGATCGACGGTATCGAAGGCTCTGCTTTGTATCCCTTAAAGAAGTATTGTGGCAACAAGTCTGAGCCCGTTGAACGCTTACAATTTAAGTGCTTAATAGCACCTAATACGTCATTTGGGGAAACTTCTACTAAATCAAGTGCCACGTTCCAGGGTTCACAGTTTGTAGTAGAGATTGCAGCTTCGACGTGATATTGATTTTGCGCGGGTAGATATACGGATTCAAAAACTTCCGCAAATTTATCAGCTATTTCATTTCCCATCTTAATAACTGCGTTTCCGCACAGCATATTGTTTTCGAGATCTACATGTTGGCGCATATTATTTATGAAAGACCAGAAACGATTTGGATCGGAGTGAATGTTGGATTCTACTTGTGCAATGTAATTTTTATGAGCCATTGAGATTCGTTTTTTCACGTCTGCCCTCAAGTGGCTAAATTCCAAATAGGTACCTACTGATCGTGGATCATTACTTAAATAATTTAAATATGTAGTCATCTCAATAGTTTCAAACTTTTATAAGTCGCTTTTATTTTTAAAAACTTCAACGAATAAAAACTATATGGGGAAGGTTTAGAGAGTTTTGATCACACAATAAATAAATTACGGTTGAAAAGGTAATGCTGGAATCCCAAAATACGGTAAATTAACTTCACTTCTGCCCCGTCAAATACCTCGGTCACAGTTCACACGGCTTCCAGGTACAAGGACTTTTAAGTTGTTAAACACAAAACCTTCCCCATACTAATTTAATTAAAGATGTAAAAGCGAGTAGTTTCGACCAACGGTCATCTTCTGGGTTGTGGAGGTTACAAATTAAAATTGGGACATTTTAACAAATAAAAACTATTTAAAAAGCAGGTATGGTGAAAAAGCTAGATTAAGTTATATGATCACAAGTCAATTTTTACTTACGGGAAAAAACGATTACAACTTAATTTTAAATAATTTTTGTAATTAATTGTTATCTCTATTTTCGTTCGTATCTTTATCGTTACTATTGAAATTGATCATTTTAGGGTTCACGTCAGATTTAACGATACCTCTATATTCTTGTCATATGTCAATTCTTTGCATGTAAAAGGCGCATAATTATTTATGCATAAGAAAAGAAAATATCATTTATCGCAAAGTTCACTGTTCTTGAAATAAGCAAAATTATGCATTGGATTAAATCACTTTAATCGCAAATGACGGCTGTCTTCACACACCTTAAACAATCAAGTTGAAAAAGCAAACACATATTCAATCTCGACATTGGCTATAACCATGATCAGCAAAGTACATCTCATAAGAGGAATTGCGAGAACAAAGGACTGAGAAATTCCGATTAGACTCGAGGACTGTAAATAAACGTTGAAAGCCAATTGAGACCTCCAGGGCTAGTTGGCATTGGAAGGATTTATTTGAGAGAATATGTACAGGGACCGTACGTGGAAATCATGCAGGGAAGACTACTTGATGGACCTCCTCTCGAAGCACTCTGTGAAGCTGTCACTACTCGAAAGCAACAAAGCAAGCTGCACACCGTACGTTGTGATTTCTACAAAGCTCTTTCACTATAAGACTTACCCCGAAGAGAGATCCCAGATCATTTTCTTCGTTTTTGGTTTTCAGTATATGCGTATTGTATGTTAGATACTGACAGGTTTGATTAAAAAGCAATGTTTGAGCCAAATTTGTCACGTCTTTCGCCTGTTAAATATACGGAACTTGTTAGTCACACTCGTAACAGAGAAAAATCGGTTAAGTACACAAAGCACATCCTGGATGTTTCTAAACCTCGCCCTGTTACGTCGATCTAAATTTGCTATAATTAGACGGCAAAGTTTTTTTTAGTAGGCCCTCTCCCAGTTACGATTTCGAGCATTCACAAAAAGAAACATATGTACATAGAATCGTGCACATACAGAACATGCTGTAAATACGAGTTTTACCACCGGTGCGTGTGCTTTCACTTGGTGAATAGTAACTGAATTAGTGATGGACACCGAAGAAGGAAGGCGATAGTATTCGTCTAGTCTGCACCATCCGAAAAGCGAATTTCAGTAGCTTTGTACTTACGGATACCACTGAAGGCACACGCACGCAACTCGACCAAGTCGATGATCTTCCGCTCATACTCACATGTGATGAGTCAGAGACCGACGTGTCTTGAGTACGATAGATTCCGATCGGTATTTCGCACGTCGTCGAGCATAGCTTCTGGTAAAGACGTCCGTAGGTGCGTATCCACATATCGTCTTTCGTAATTTTCATCTGAAAACGGATTCGCATTAACGGCCCCAAGTGTAGCGCCTCGTCGGGAACTTACCGACGTAAGGAAGCCCGATCCGGGAGCCTGGTCGACTCCTAACAGTAGTCTGACGAAGGTGATGACGTAGTCTTTCACGAAGGCCTGGTAGAGGAGGGTGTCGAGCATGCTCGCACTGAATACGCTTCCGGCGGCAAATGGTAGACGAAACATGTACGACAGGTGAGAACCGCGTTCCTTTTCTCTCTAAACAGTAACAAAAACTGCTATCAGCAGCGGTTTTTGCCAAATGGATCTTCATATGCAAAATCCAAGATTTTCTTGGGGGTTGCCGAAAGAAGTGCACCAGTTTGCTAAAGGGGGCATACTACCCAACTGATGTGTCACAGTTTCAATAACATTTCTAGTTTGTGCGACATACACCATGATACCTTAAAGCTGAAATATACGCCGTGCTTCAAGTTATATGTCACAGTGAAAATGTCGCCTGTTCTTTTTTATTTCATCCATATAATATAATTTACATTTTGTCTACATTTTAATTTAGTTTTTTTTATGAATTTAATTATTTTGTTATTGATTTATGTTAAGATTTTGAGTTTCTCTTGTGTTTCTTTCTTTTTCTACCTATTAATTATGTATTGTTCTGTAATTGGAATTTTATGTTCTGTTAGGCAATAAATCTCTATGTGTGCTTCCAAAGGCTCCACATCCGAAAAAGCAGAAGTGTGCCTTTTATTTAAAAATGAGATTACTTCTCCTTGCATCAGAGCTGGGCAGAATACTTAAAAAAAGTATTTGAATACTAAATAGTAAATACTTTACACAAATCAAAGGTATTTGAATACTAAATACTTTTACGTCCAGCACAAGCGAATACTAGATACAGATATATTGAAAAGTATTCAAATACTTAAAAAGATAAGTATTCTAATACAGTAAAAAGTATTCAAATGCTTGTCACTCAAATATATTGTAACGTGATTTATAAAAATTCGGGTTCGATTTATATCAATATTTATTAAACAAAACTAAAACACTATAAAAACTGTACAATTTATATTTCCGCGCTCGATGTTTCGTCCGTACTCGATCTCGTTCGGTAGTAAAACTGCCGCGATGTTCGGTCCGCAACCATTTATACACGCAAGCAATGTAAGTCCAGAACATTCGCGTAATTACCAGATACGTTGCAAACATTCCCACTATCGCGCGCTTAGAAAATTCCAGAGCGCCAAAGGCTACGTCATGTCTGGAGCGTTTCCGTTACACTGCCCCCTTCTTAATTCTGGGCGTCTCGTTCAGAAACTGCGTTAGTATTACTTTTTAATGCCTCGTGTCGGAATCTGCAGTCAGAGCCTGCTCGACAAACACCTTTCTTGAAAAAGTAACAGTCCACAGTTTTGCGAAGGGTCGTCCCCTGTGGGTTGAAGCAGCATACTGTAATTCGAACGCTAGTGTTTCTAAAAATCACTTCGATCATGGTTCGCACTATCTTCCAGTCCAACCCATCTAAACCACATCCAATCTTCGGGATCGACAAGCTATTTATGTCATAGTATGCCATGAGTTTCTTTAAGCTTTTTAAAGCAGACCAGAGGTTTTCATAGGTGGGTTTGCCTTCTGACGTTTTCTTTGAAACCAAGTAGAACAAAGAGCGTTGACTATCTTCCAAGCGCAGTACTTTACCCACTCGTGGTCTTTGCTTTAACAACTCGTCTATCCTTCCAAATCTTTTCCGGAATACGGAAGCTAAGCGACACAATGGGCGATGGAAACGTTAACCGGAAGCTCAAAAATATTTTGACAAATTTCCTGAGTAACGCCAAATCGAGCTTTCTTCCGCTGGGCGTAATTTGACATAAAATCGTTAAAGTTTGGCTCGATCCCAAAGCTGCGTTCCTCTTCTCGAATACCTCTAACTTCTTCGTTGTTGTTGGATCCGGCATATCGTGCGAGTCGATTAATGTGGACAACTCTCGGTTTCCGGTGGTTCATTCTGATACGATATATCACGTCATTTATTTTCTTGATCACCTCATACGGACGTTCGCATTGTCTTTGTAGCTTGGGAGAAAGACCTCTTCGTCTCTGGGGATTGTGCAGCCATACCAGATCTCCAGCTTCAAAAGTTTGATTGGCCGAGCGGAGGTTGTATTGATTTTTCATGCGATCGCTGGCAATCTGAATATGACTTCTAGCCAAGTCGTGAATGTCTTTCATCTTCGCCTATAGTTGGTCAACATAATTTTCACCTGCGACATATTCTTCATGGGGTTTACGCCCAAACTCGAGGTCACATGGAAGGCGTAGTTCACGACCCAACATAATGCAGGCAGGAGTCTGACCCGTGGTCTCGTTGACGGCTGATCGATATGCCATAAGGAACAGGTGGAGGTACTGGTCCCAATTTTTCTGATGTTCTGCCACGACTTTTGAAAGATATTTACCCATCGTTCGATTCATTCTCTCCACCATTCCATCTGACTGAGGATGCAAAGGTGTTGTTCTGGTTTTATTGGCTCCTACCAATCGACAAACATCTTGGAACAAAGCCGATTCAAAGTTCCTTCCTTGGTCTGAATGGATTTCTATAGGAACACCAAAACGTGTAAAGAACTCCTTTACCAACACTTCTGCAACTGTTGCTGCCTCTTGGTTTGGAATGGCGTAAGCTTCAGTCCACTTTGTGAAATAATCCATAGCGACTAGGATATATTTATTTCCACCATCTGTCTTGGGAACCGGTCCTGCGATATCGATAGCAACTCGATCTATCGGACTACCAACGTTATACTGCCTCATGGGTGCCTTCTTCTTGGAAAATGGTCCGTTTCCAGTAGCACATAACTCACATTTTTGACACCATCGCCGGACATCTTCTTTACGGTTGACCCAATAGAATCGCTCACGTACCCTTTGCAACGCTTTCGTAATACCAAAGTGTCCTCCGGAAGCGCCGTCATGCAATTTTCGCAATACTTCCGACACTTTGCTTCTAGTACTATTAATTGCAGCGTCGATTCGGTGCCATCTTCACTTTCAAGGGTCCTATACAACAGGTTGTCTTTCAGAGTCAGGCTATTCCATTGGCCCCAATAACTCTTTACTTCAGGACTTGTGGCACTAATGTCTTGCCAGTCTGGTCTTTATCCGTGGCGTATCCAATTCAGAACAGTTTTTATACTTGGGTCGTTTTCTTGGGCCGTTTTGATTTCGCTTGGCTTCCATTCCTCACTCTCTACAGTTGTTCGTCGCAGATGGCCAATCTTGTCTTCTATTTTAGAACAATGTGTGCAGTTGTCCTTGCACGGTTTTCTTGACAAAGCGTCTGCATTATTGTGAACTTTTCCAGACGACGTAATGTTTACAGTGAAGATCGGGGCTTTGCTTCTGCAGGTTGACGATAGCCCTTTCCTGTCGACCTTTCTTAGTTTTCCGGCTGCTGCAATGGTTTTTGGCAGTTGCGGCGAACGTGTCCAATCTCGCCGTGGTTCACGTTTCTTTGCCAGTGACTGTATTGCTTTATTGATCTTATCTTCCACTACTTTACTGACCTTTCCTTCCACTACTTTACTGACCTTTTCTTCAAAACTTTCAGAGCCACCTTCCTCTTCGATGGTTCTTACCCGGCTGTCACTGCGAGGTTCCACCATACGTACTCGCGCACTTCCATGACTAGCTTTCTTGGCGGCTTCGAATTCTAACGCATGGGCCAAAGCTTTCTCAATTTTGTCGTGCCTAGCCAGTCTCAAAGCCTGCTGGGCATCTCCATCACAAACGGCATCGATAAATGTTTGTAGAGCCAGTTGATCAAGAAAGCTCTCCGGTGCCGTAGGGTATGCCAATCGAATCAGTCTAGCGATGTCCGCTTCAAGTTCCTGCAAACTTCCTCCAGGTTTCTGCATTCAGTTCTTGACTTGGGCATAGTAAACTTGCTGAAGGTGTTTATCGCCATATCGCATTTCGAGTCGCGCTACTATTTGTTGGAAGTTCTGTTGATCCTCGGGGATGGTCCGCAACACATCCAGAGCATCTCCTCTCGGAGCAAGAATCAGGGCTGTAGTTTTGTCTTGAAGAGTCCATTTATTTGCCGCAGCCGCTGCTTCAAACTGTCGAACGTACGTGGTCCAAGGAATCTTACCATCAAAAGTAGGTGGCTTTACTCGCGCTTGCTGAACGTCCCCTTCTACTCTTGTTATTTGTTTCTGGGTCGACCTTCTTGTAATGAGTAGGCTGTGGCACCTCAAGAAGACGGTCCATCAGTAATTCATCTGGGGCACTACTAGTACGCTCTTCCGTAGTCAGTCGCAAGAATTGCTCGCGCAGCTCTTCATACTTGTGCTCAATCTCAACGAATGTTGCTTTAAATGTTTCGGAAACTTCCGTAATTCTATCTTCAACTTTTTCTTCAATTGATTTAGAGACTTCTTCGATAATCTTTCTAGAATTTTCCTCCATCTTCTCGAACTTCTGTTGAATATTTCTAGAATTTTCTTTATTAATCTTTCTAGAATTTTCTTCCATTTTCTCGAACTTCTCTTCAAATTTCTAGAATTTTCTTCCATCTTCTCTTCAAAATTTCTAGCATTTTCTTCCATCTTCTCTTGGTTGCTTTTCATTTCTTGTTGCAACACCTGTTGGCCATTTTGGATTTGCTGGAGCAAATTGAGCATCGTTTCTTCCATTTTAGCGGCAGCAGATCTTGTTACAGGCATACACAAGCAGAAGTACTTAATTTAATCTTACTTTTAATTAATTTAATTAATCCCACACCTGACACCAATGTAACGTGATTTATAAATTCGGGTTCGATTTATATCAATATTTATTAAACAAAACTAAAACACTATAAAAACTGTACAATTTGTATCGACTATTTATATCACACACTTCGCAATTTATATTTCCGCGCTCTATATTTCATCCGTACTCGATCTCGTTCGGTAGTAGACTGCCGCGATGTTCGGTCCGCAACCATTTATACACGCAAGCAATGTAAGTCCAGAACATTCGCGTAATTACCAGATACGTTGCAAACATTCCCACTATCGCGCGCCTAGAAAATTCCAGAGCGCCAAAAGCGACGTCATGTCTGGAGCGTTTCCGTTACAATATTAAAAATTTAAAAATAAAATTTCTTATAGATTGTGGCCTGTAGAATTTCAAACAGTTCCAAGATTGGGCTATTAGTTCAAAAGTTTCAGCCCTTTGAATTTTCTTTCGAAATTGGTTTCTAGTCCATAACTTTATATTGAGAAGTCTAATCGAAAAAGTACGAATTGTTTTGGATTCTACGCACCAAAATTAATAAGAAAGTGTTTTCCCGAGAAATTTTGGTGTAGTCGATTTTTGGTAAAAAAGGGATACTTATTCAAATACTATGCGAAGTATTCGAATACTTTACGAAGTATTCGAAAACTAAATATTTGTGAAAGTATTTGAGTTACAAATACAAATACTGCTTCCATAAAAGTATTTAATTACAAAGTATTTGAATACTTTCAAGGATTTGAGTACTAAAAAGTATTTACAAAATCGAATACTGCCCAGCTCTGCCTTGCATAAATATCCGTTGGCAAAGAAGCGTTAGAAACTAATTTGAGTAATGAATCACAAGTCTGCCTCTGAATAAATCAACTCGGAGTTTACAGGAAGCAACTATTAGTTAAACCCCCAAGTCGAATTTAATTACAAAGGTAATGTGAATGAAATTTGATTAAATCAAAGTTTGGAGAAACTTTCCGGTTTAAAGTTGTTGTTGTAATCATGTAATCCGAGTTCTCCCCTTACCTTTTCCATTTTGGATAGGTGCAAGGCGTATTTGTCGTGCGCGCGAAACTGCATAAACCTCATATTTGACGATTGCGAAAGTTCGGTTATGCTTCTGATGCTCGGGAAGAATCTGAAATCAGAATTGTCATTATCGGAACGAGCGACAAAGGCAAATTCCACCACAAATTTATGCGGTTGTTTTGATTTGCATTGCATGCGGATGTCGTAATTAATCGTCGATTATATTGATATTGGAAGTGGATTCTATGAATAAATTACACATCAAACTCAAACTAGGAATGAATGAATTATTAGAGAGATGCATAATGCTTCATTGATTTGATTAAACGCTGCATTAAAATCGATAGATTTCGTTTTTTTGTTAAGATTGAAGGGCTACAGAAATTGAAAACATTTTTTCATTGCAATTTAAACGTTACACTACGAAATTGATTTGAATTTAATACAACATCTTATGCGATTCCGTACGCTATTTCAATTTAAAACCTGTTTAGTTAGAATTGCTTTTCATTCATCTGTTAGTCATAGGCTCATACGAATTGGGTGAAATTTCAATTTTGACTAAGACTTGAACCAAAGAAATACGTGTTTCCGTTCATAGGGTGGAGGTAAAACGTAATTAGAACTGCTGCTGCTATTTAAACAATTATCAAATCCAATCAAAGGATGTATCTATTTCCATTGTTATTTTAAAAAATGATAATTTCTTCACTATGCCATTTTCTGCTGCATATAAATATTATCAAAGCGCTTCTTCTTTCATCTTTTCACTTCTCTTTCGAAGTACTTGGTAAACATGGAAACCAGGAGAAATCAATAAGGAAACGCGAAAAAATTAGCCTAGGTTTGCTTCGTTTGCGCTCGTGCTCATCTGCTTTGAATGCTTATTCTACCTCGGTCAATTCTTCGCGATTCTTTCTGAAGATTCATTTGAAGATCTTCCATGTGCGTGTGGTTGAACGGAATAAATCGAACTTGTGGAAGTCAAAAGATTGTACTGTCACCATTTGTCCCGCGTAGCGTTCCGGGAGAAAAAGTGACACTTTAGTCCCTTAAATTAATGACAGAAGACGTTGATTTAGTCCAAGGAGTATAAAAAGACCTGAGGCTCAGTCGAGGTGCATTATGGCTGTATTGAATGCAGTCGTAGACCAGATGGAGGGAGGGCCCTTTCCTCGGCTGGCAGGGTTCCGCTGGAATCCGCAGGGTGCCATCGTGGCCGAATGCGAGGACCAGTGGACCTTGGACTGCTCCGGCTGCGCAAGGTAAGGGAGAGAGCTCCACCGAAGCAGCGGGACCTAGTTCCGTTGCGACGGAGGGGGCTCAACCTCGCGGTGTTGATCTCGAAGAGGCGGCGGGATTGCTCCCGGCACCCGAAGAGATCGAGAAAGATGTCAGCGAGCTTTTGGCTCGTGTGGCGGTTCTTGGCTCCGACCAGGGGTCGGAACCGTCGGCATCGCTAAAGGAGGAGGGAACCTAGTACATCAGTGATGGACGAAGTAACCTTCTTACAGAGCAATTTGCAGCACAGTAAGGGGGCGACCTGTCTAATAGGTCGTCAACTTGCTGTAAAGCAGACAGGCGTATGCCTCATACAAGAACCTTGGGTTTACAAGGGACGAGTAAGAGGTCTGGGCCAGGTGGAGGACTCTCTTTATTATAAGAGGGACAGCCAACTGAACCCGAGGACTTGCATTTATGTCGATAGACGAATCGAGTCTTATCTAATGGCTGATTTTTGTTTCAGGGATCTCGTAGCTCTACGACTTCAGCTGAAAGATGACAGAGGACGGGGCAGGCACTTGGTGGTCTGCTCCGCCTATCTCCCGTACGACTCAGAAGGGGCTCCACCAACCAAGGAGCTGGCTGAGTTGATAGAGTACTGTCGAAGTAATGGGCTCCCTCTTGTGGTTGGCTGTGATGCAAACGCACACCATGTTGTGTGGGGCAGGGGCAGCACGGACACGAACTCGAGGTCTTCCTGAAGTTCAAAAACTTCGTAAAATCCTTTTGAAGGACCCGGGGCAAAAGGTGGGGACACTGAGGCTTCCATGCGGCAGATATACGTCTACCGCGGGTGAGGCACTCACATGTCTCCTGGAAACACACTTTCCAGGCTCTGGGGACTACTTAACTTCGGACCCACCAAAAGGAGCTACTCGGGTCGGTGTAAGGCCGATCAACTGGAAGGTAGCTTCCCGGGTGGTTACCGAGGGATCTCTGAGATGGGCGGTCAACACGTTCAGCCCATTTAAGAGTGCAGGGCCGGATGGGATATTCCCGGCTCTTCTACAGAAGGGCCTGGATCCACTGCTCTTACACTTGTTGCATCTCTTCAGAGCGTCTCTGGCTTTAGGGTATATCCCTGAAAGCTGGAGGAAGGTAAGAGTTGTGTACCTACCTAAGCCGGGTCGTGCTAAATATGCCGTGGCGAAGGACTATAGGCCCATCAGCCTATCATCGTTTCTTCTAAAAACGGCGGAGAATCTGGTGGATGCATACATAAGGAATGGCGTACTGGTTAGTAGACCACTACATCCGTTCCAACATGCTTACAGGGCTGGTATGTCCACGGAGACGGCTCTACACAGCCTGGTGTGCAGGCTGGAAAAGGGAATGTCTTCCGGGGGGATAGCTCTGGGAGCGTTTTTAGATATCGAGGGTGCGTTTAACAACACCACGTTCGATTCGATTAGTGAGGCTGCTGAGAGCTTTGGTATTGATGGGTCGATCGTAAGATGGATACGAGCCATGCTCGAAAGCAGAATCATTATATCCTCAATTGGGATGACGGAGATGAGCTCATCGGTTACTAGAGGATGTCCGCAGGGTGGGGTATTGTCTCCACTGCTGTGGTGCCTGGTACTAGACGGGTTCCTCCGCACCTTGAACGAGGGGGGAGCGTATACACAGGGATACGCGGACGATAACTGGGAAGTTACCAAACACCGTGAAAGAGCTCATGCAGGGGGCTCTTGAACAGGTGGATAGGTGGTGCAGTAGCCATGGCCTTTCCGTTAACCCGGAAAAGACCGAGGTTGTTTCATTCACGAATAGAAGGAGAGCGGATCTTACTGGGCTCGCTCTTCGAGGACATCAACTGGTCTGACCAGGTCAGTGAAATACCTGGGAGTCATCATTGACTCCCGCCTGACCTGGAAAGGGCACATTGAGCGCATGCAGAAGGGCTTTTGGTTGTACATGGGGCTTGAACCCTCGACTGGTATACTGGCTTTACACTGCAGTGATAAGGCCAATAATACTGTATGGTGCACTTGTATAGTGGCCTGCCATACGCAGGGTAACCTACAGGAAGCAGCTAGGAAAGGTCCAGCGACTCGCTTGTCTGGGAGTCACTGGAGCCCTAAAAACCACGCCAACCTTGGCCATGGAGGCACTTCTGGGACTAGAGCCTTTACACTTAGCTGTGGAGGCAGGGGCTTGGAAAGCCTTCCATACGGCTAAACGATTGGGATGAATGGAAGGATCGAGGCAGCCTTGGGCACGGGCGGATCTGGGAGGAAACCCTCAGAACCGATCCCCTCCTCGCAAGGAGGGACGTGATCCGGGCTATCTTGCTAAGACCAAAGCGTTATAAAGTCATTCTCCCGGATAGGGAGCAGTGGCTGAACTCGGATTGCCCGTTCCTCAAACCTGAGGGGCTCGTGTGGTTTACAGACGGGTCCCAAACAGAAAGGGGAACGGGCATGGGTATATATGGTGATCGACCGAGAGCCAGCGTCAGCGTCTCCCTTGGTCAGCATAGCACCGTGTTTCAGGCAGATATGTTAGCCATCATGACCTGTGCACAGGAAAACCTCCCTAGAGGTTACCGCAATAAGCATATATACATATGCAGCGATAGTCAGGCGGCGTTGAGGGCCCTGTCGGTAGACAGGTTCCGATCAGCTACGGCGCTTGATTGCAGGCGAACCCTAGATAGATTAGGTAAGTCTAATAGGGTAAGCTTGATTTGGGTGCCAGCGCACTGCGGAATAGGGGGCAACGAAAGGGCGGACGAGTTGGCTCGCGAAGGCAGTGGTGGGGTCTTCGTCGGGTCAGAGCCTA